CTCCCTGCTCCTCTCGAGTGAGGGCAGCCTCGCTGGGCAACCTGTTCTAGTGCTCGGTCACCTCGACAGTAAAGAAGTTGTTTGTATTCAGGTGGAACTTCCCTTCCTGTGCATCAGTTTCTGCCCATTGTCTCTTGCCCTATTACTTGGCACCACGGAGAAGAGGCTGCTCCATCTTCTTGACGCCCATCCTTTAGGTACGTGATCACATTGATGAGGTCCCCTCTCAGTCACCCCTCCTCGAGGCTGGGTGACCCAGACCCAGCTCCCTCAGGCATTCCTGGTGAGAGAGATTCCCCAGAGCCTTGGCTGAGTTACCTGCCCCAGGAGCTGCCTGTCCCTCTGGTCTCTGCCCTGAGGCCGGCTGGGCCGAGTGTCCCCTGTTGTGACCGACACCGCAGTTGTCACCTGCACCTGCCCCACGCCGGGGTCCGGCAGCCGTGTGTGCCTCCGCTCCTCGTGTCACATGTGCGGCAGAGACACCCCGGGCTGTCCTGCTCCCGCCTCCACTGCCCTTTGTGACAAAAGCAACAAAACCTGGGCCAGCCAAAAGCAGCCAAAACCACACTGAGCTCTGGCTGTAGTTCAGCCAGAAGCTACAGGAGGAATAATGAGATTTTCAATATCTGTATTAACTTTGTGTGAGATGGGAGCTACTGGTATGAGGATTTGTATTCCAGAACTAGTCTGTATGACTGGTTCATTGGTTTGTTCTTTCATTAATGAAAACAAGCTACCCAAATGTTATTTTTACTTAAGGCTAATTAAACAGTAAACTGCAAAACTGAAAACAATGGAAAGTGAAAGAAACAGGAGGAGAAAAAATAAGGGCTTTAAAAATCCAGAAGCTTGAAAGGAGAGAAAAGTCAAACCAGAGACAACCCTTACTGCAAGCAGAACTTGAGCAGAATTCCTAAAAGAAAAAATAAAAAATAGGTACTTTGGATATGCTACTTATAGTGCATCTTTCTCCTGCCAACTGCAAGAGCCCCCTACTACTTGCAGAAAAGCAGCTGTTTCACCAGCTGTAATTGTAGGATTTTACAAAAAGCTTACTGGAAAGAAAAGTGGGTTATGTTCTCTTTTTATGCCAGAGAGAAAAGATGTATCTATTTCATGGTAGCCAAGGTAGTGGATCTACATCTAGTAATGACTTGTCCCAAGAACATATTTAATTTGCCTGTGTGAAACGGCACCTTCTCTCTCACAAGCACCAGCAATTCAAGTCACACATAAGTTTTACTTGCCACTACTGTGAGTATTTAAAAAGGAATTTGCTTATCCCAAAAGATGAGGTTTGGGCAAATACCCCATGGCTCCAACAGACCAATTTTTGGCACCCAGCTAAGAGGGATTTTGTTGCACAGGGATACTGTTTTGTATGCTTATCCTGCTGTGATTCAAAATAGCTGTTTTCTCAGGCTTGTCCATTCAGAATGATATCATGTCCCAAGTACTCTTGTTAAATTAATTGCCTGAGTTTTCTTTGTTTTAGGTGGTTGGATAAGCAAGGCTTATTGCCTGTGAGCTCATGGAAATAGCTTCATTGGAACAAATGTTCCATCCATCTCTCCACAGGCTCTACAGAAGATAATTAAAAACCATTTCCCACCCCAAACAGAATCCATTTGTAGCCACGACACATAGTTTGCTACCATTTGTTTCCTGGGATCCTTCTATTCTTCCCATGCCAATTTATTAAGCATCAATTAGATTGGGTTTAAAAAGTAGAAATCAAAGTAGCTGCACAGCTCTGAACATTTTTTTCCTCCACAGGTAAACAGAGGTTTAATTCCACAAGTTATAAATGGATCAGAGGCGCAGAACAGCTTTAAGTGTCCAAATGTATCACACTTGACTTAAGCTCTTTAACAGCTAAAAGACACTTTACATGGGAAGGAAGAATAGCAAAACTGTGAAAACAAAATGCAAATTTAAAAGCAAGAATGGTCTTCCAGGACAAGTCTTGAAATTATTGCCTGTAAAAACTGGGATATTTCCCTTTCAGAGACTTGGAAGAACCTTGAAAACTGCTTTTCCTGCTCTCTAGAGTAGATTGCCCCCACCCCCTCTATTTTTGTTGAGGTATGTAGAGGGACAATTGGCATCACTTTCCCAAAATAATAACTGGTTGCTCTAGAAAGATTGGGGTCCATCTCTGCAGGAAGGAAACTGATTCACAGCTAAGTTGGGGGAATTTTGAGGACACAAAGGGAGGAATTGGGTCCTTCAGGGAGGCAAGAAGGAGGAAGGGCTCCTGCACATGAAACAAGGTACATATTTCATTCTCCTCCTTGCCATGAGTGGTGAAGCACGATCAGGACTGCTGGTGATGCCATGCTAACATCCCTGTCTTCTCCCATGTCCCCACATCTGTGGTCATGTGAAGGACTGCACAGCCCTGCTCTGGCTATAGGCACCAGCAAAAACATGAGGAGAGGGTGTGTGTCCCATTGTTCCTGCATTCCCATCACAGCAG